ACCATGCCCAGGTGTCCTTCATGTAACATGTTTAGTATGTCTTCTTGTAATTTTTTTGGAACAACCACCCAATCTCCCCACAATATGCAACCTTTTTCAATTGACAATTCAGTTTGCCAGTTTTTAAAAGGTTTAAAAGTCTCGTTTTTTTCATTTTCCGGCCAACCCCATCAGGGCATCTTTAGCTGTTTCTCTTGCGATGTCCGATGCGGTGATGGGCCAACTTGGAATCATTTCAATTTGCAGGGTATGCGTGGTGGGAGCTGGATCATCATCGTGACCTGGTAGTGGTGAACGGCTTAATGTGTCTGCGTGGGGTATGGCTTTTCCTGGTCGATAAATGAGCTTGTAATTGTAGGCTGCGAGAAATTCTGACCATCTTGTCATTCTTGAAGACAGGATGTTGGGGGTGGCCCTGTCTCCATCCAGAATTCCCAACAGCGGTTTGTGGTCAATGATTAAGGAAAATGTCCTACCTTATAGGTATTCGTGGAAACGTTTCACCCCTGAGATGGCTGCCAAGGCTTCCCTGTCCAGTTGGCTGTAGTTCCTTTCAGTCTTGGACAGCGTCTTGGAATAAAAGGCGATTGGTGCTTCTCTGCCATCTGGTAGTGTGTGGCTAAGTATTGCGCCTACGCTGAAAGGTGAAGCGTCGCAGGTGACAGTCAGGGGTAGTGTGTCACTGTATTGGATCAATACAGATTTTGATGTGATTAAGTCTTTGATTTTTTAGAATGCTGCTTCTTTTTGGTGGCCCCATTTCCAAATGGCTTTTTTATCGAGGAGTCTATGCAGTGGTTCCGCTACTGTTGCCGTCTGCGGCAGGAAGACATGATAAAAATTAATGAGTCCCAAAAATGCCTGTAAATCCGTTTTGTTTTTGGGTCTGGGAGCTTCTTTTATTGCTCGTATTTTTGTGTGGGGGGGATGTATTCCTGCTTCATCAATCAGGTATCCTAGGAACTCGACCTGATTTGTGGCAAGTTGGCATTTTTCTTTTTTAACCTTAAGTCCTGCTTCTCTAAATTTTGACAAGACTGCCCTTAATTGGTCTTTTAGTTGTTTTTTATTTTCGGCTGATATTAGTACATCATCGAAGTGGGGAACCACCCCTTTTAAACCTTGGAGGAGGTGTTCCATCAGGCTCTGGAAAATGCCAGGGGCCACGCTGACACTGAATTGTAATCTATTGCATTTAAAGGCTCCTCTATGTGTTACGATAGTTTGCGCCTCTGCCGTCTCAGAATCAACTGGTAATTGTTGATATGCCTGTGTGAGATCGAGCTTCGCAAAGATTCTTCCTCTCCCCAATGAGTGCAGCAGGTGTTGGACTACTGGAATGGGATATGCGCTCTGTTGCAATGCATGGTTCAGGGTGGCCTTATAGTCACCACAGATGCGCACTGACCTGTCTGGTTTTATAGGGGTCACAATCGGGGTTTCCCATCTGGCATGGTCGGTTGGCTCTAACACCCCCTGAGCGATGAGCTTGTTCAGTTGCTCGTCAATTTTTGGTCTTAGCGCAAATGGTACCCTTCTAGCTCTAAGCCTGATGGGGGCTACGTTCGGGTTTAAGCTAAATGATATAGGGGTCCCACGGTACTTGCCTAAAGTCCCGTCGAATACGTCATGGAACTCCTCTATCAGGTCTTTCTCCCAGTCCGTCATGGTGATGCTGTTGATTCCTGTCACTTCGATTCCAAGCGGTTCGAACCATTCTAAACTGAGCAGGCTGGGCCGATCTCTGTCAACGATGGTTAATGGAAGAATCTCGGTGTGTTTTTTAAACTTTACTTTGAAATGTCCCAGTCCTACTACTGGTATCTTGTTACCCCGGTAATCTTTGATGATCAGGCTTTGCTCTTCGAGTTCTTTACGTTTTATGTCTGGTATCAAATTTTTTATTGTGTTCCATGATACCATTGATAAATACGAACCGGAGTCTACTTCCATTTCACATGGCTCAACTTCTATCAGGACGTTGATTCGAACCTTCTTAGTGTTTGTTGTTCTGGCCATCCCAATAGTGATTGTCTGATGTGTCTCTTCCTTCTCGTTTAACCATTGATTCCTATGTTCCTGGCTCCAGCGACTTCCGGTTGGCTTTTCCTTGTTTCTGGGGGGGGGGGGGGTACTGCCACGTCTTTTTGGACTATAGCTCTTTTTGTTTCGGCAGACCCTTGCAATGTGCCCCCATTTTTTACAATGCCGGCATATGGCATCCAAGAATCGACACTCAGACCGGTTCCTTTCTGAATTGAGTCTATTAACCTCCTCGTCTTCATCTTTGGAGTCGGTTGATGATTCGATATCTTCATGGTGAGAGGTTGTGGTAGCATGCTTTTGGGCTCCCTCTGTTTTCTTTTCTTTATTCAGGCTCAGGCTGTTTGTTGTATTCATCTGCTTCATTTTTGCTGCAGACTTCTTTGCTGCTTCAGCGGCAGTTGCTTCAGCAATGGCTTCATTTACAGTAATGTTGGGTCGGTTTAGTAGTTTGCTCTGTAGGGTAGCGTCTCTCAGTCCAAGGATTATGCGATCCCTCATGGCTTCATCCATGTTGAGGAACTCGCATGCCCCCCCCCAATGTCCCTTAATGCTGCTACAAAGTCTCCAATACTCTCGCCTTCTAGTTGGTCACGCTTGTAGAATTCATGTCTTCTAATGAGGTTGGACACGACTGGTGTGTAATGTTTTCTCAGCATCCGATTCAGGTCTGGCCAGGCCATCTGTTTAACATCATTGGGTCTTGCTAATGCCTTGGCCATTTTAAAAATAGTCGGGCCACAATGCGTCAGGAATACGGCTCTCTTCCTCTGGTCAGTGATTCCTTGCAGTTCTTTGCTTTCTAAAAACATCAGGAACCTGTCAATGTATGATTCCCAGTCTTCTTCGGCTGGGTTGAATGGTGCGAGTGGCAAATTGTTGCCGGCCATCTCGTTGGTCTTTCGGCTGTCGTCGCCACGTGCTTACGGTCTTTGTTCCTCCGATCCCACCCTTGTCGCCAGTGTTCTATCGCCAGGACAAAGCAGACTCGAAGACTGGAGTTGAAATCAGCTCTTTATTAGCAACCAGTAACTTCAACTAAAGTCGAGCCGCGGCAGCCCTTTTTATAGCAGCTGCTGGCAGCTCACAACCAATGGCATGTATTTAAACTTCCCGCCGCTTAGGCGGCCAATCAGAAATTGTCGTTCTTAACCAATCGTTAAGCTATGTTGACTAACCAATAGGAATGTAGTATTAGAAGTCTATACATGAATACACTACACCTCTATTGCCAGCCACAATTGGACTAATGGAGTTTCCTTTAATCTTAGTTAATTGTTTTGTTGTTTTATATAGAGCTACTCAGGGATTTGAGAAAATCTTCAAGTAATTCACACTCTTGGTAACTACAGGGAAAATAAATAATGCAATTATTGTATGATCAGAAAAAGAAGTAGAAAATATATACGGTTCACTCATGTCCATTATGAGATGTGTGTTGCAACTTTATTAATACTTTTTGGTGACTGACATCAGCTATCACGTCATCCAACCTATATATTTATTTGGTATTAATGTTGTATGCTCCTGCAAAACAATGAGGAAAAGAAACAGAAGTTTCTCCACAAGATAATTAAGGTTATGATTCAAACCAAACCAGAGCGTGCATTAATGAAATACCTTAACCCAATCCAATATGATATATTTGAAATATTGATAGCTTTCATGACATCTGCTGTGGGGTCTAGGACAACTCAGCATGGCCAACTTGCCTTGGCCAACTAACCATGGCCAACTTGCTGTGAGACAATTCTTCATGGTCAGCTCACAGTGAGACAACTAACTGTAGGACAAGAGTTACACTAATATTGGATGAATGGCTACAGAAACTGATAGAGTTGGCAGAAATGGCTATATTGACCCTTTTGATTAAAGGAAAAATATAAATATTTGTTCTGATCCAAACCTTGTTCCAAGGAAACAAACACCAAACAGAGGTAAAAGCAAAACCTTTTAATGCTTCTCTGCCAATTCTGTTCATTCACAGTTAAAAGGCTATGAAAACTAATTGTCTCTGATAAGAACGAGCCTTGCCAAGGTTGTGCAAGGATGCCAAAAACACTACATTAAGTTGCCAAGAAATATTCAAAATAAAAAGTCTCCAAACACAAACCAGGATAGTGCGAACATTCACAAGGCTTGAAGTGCAAGAATTTCTTTGCTTCCTGCAAAAAATCCCAGTCTCTCAGGATGGCTTTTATCTCTTAAGGGAGGGGCCATTACCTTGAAGCCTTACTCCCGAATTGCCCATGCTGCTGCAGTTGCTCTTTCCTTCGAGCAGTCCTGCACGCACGCGCATTGGGCACAGGGGCCTCGACATCACTGCTGCTAGCCTCCACAATCTCTGAAGGCAGCATTCCACTCTCTGATAGTACTGGCCCCATCCCTGCATCACATGCAGGGCCTCATCCAAATCCTTGCTCTTTGAAGCCTCAGCCATCCACACCTGCTGCTGGCGAACCACAACAGTGTTTTGTTGCCACATGGAGACAGCTTCTGAACTTTGTGCTCAAGGTAGAAAAATAATGAAACTTTGATTTTGTGTTTTACCAATTACACTGATATGCTTTTATAGAAATGGCTAGTTTACATTATTATGGAAAAGCAAAATGTTGTGGTTTGATATTATGCTTTATTTTAGTACAACAGAGGGAGTCAGAAGTCAACACTTTTTTTCTTCTTTTTCCCAGCCTCTCCTCACTTCTCTTTCCCTTCTCCCTCCCGCTGTCTTTTGTGTTTTGTATTTCATTCTGTAACCTAATAAAATGCTTAAACACTTCAAGAAGTATTCTTATTTCATGCACCAAGTGTATGGAATTTCTGTACAGATTTTTTAATGATATTCTGATTCCAGAGTCAAGAGACACTATCGTCTAATGAGTTTTGTGTTTTGTGCTGCAGTAGGGGAAGGTTGTGATCAACTGAATCAATGAGTAAACTGAACTGCATATTCATTATCATTTTTTTACTAATTGCCTCTTTGTATTCAAATCAGGTCTCAAAACAATGATATAGCATTTTGGGGAAAAGATGCAGCCCAGTAATCCAGCTGCAGAAGCCAAAATAGAGAAGATCTCTACAGCCACCATATATTTGCCCTTTGTACTCAGATAGGTTGGAACAAAAGATATCCAGACGCTACAAAAGACCAACATGCTGAAGGTGATAAATTTAGCTTCATTAAAGCTGTCAGGCAACTTCCTAGCTAAGAAAGCTACTGTGAAGCTGACAGAAGTCAAGAACCCCAGAAAACTAATAACAATATAAAACATTGTGGTTGAACCTTCATTACATTTGAGGACAATTTCTTCAACCATGGAGTGCATGTCAGAATCTGGGAATGGGGGAGAACTTGCCAACCATATTACACAGATAATGAATTGTGTTAGGGAGCAAGATAAGACAATAGTGTTGGCCAGTCTTTTTCCCACCCATTTCCTCATTTTGGAGCCTGGCTTGGTGGCCATGAAAGCAAGGACCACTATGATTGTTTTGCCCAATATGCAAGATAAAGCTATAGAGAAGATGATGCCAAAAGCAGTTTGTCGCATGAGACATTTCACTTGGTCAGGTTGGCCAATGAAGAGCAAGCTGCAAAGGAAAGAGAGCAAGAGAACAATGAGAAGAATGTAGGTGAGGTTCCGGTTGTTGGCTTTGACAATAGGAGTGTCCCGCTGTTTAATGAAGATCCCCAGCACCAAAGCTGTGATAAAAGAAAAGATAAGACTAATGGTGGCTAAGGTGATTCCCAGTGGCTCATTGTAAGACAAGAAAGTTGCTCTTTTTAGAATGCAGAGATTTTGAGCCTTGTTTGCATATTGGTCTTCTGAACATTGGAAGCAATCAACTGCATCTGGAAAATAAAGGCATCATGATCAGTTTTTAGAAATAGATAGTCAAAGTGAGAGTTAATGGAATTCATTTGTTCCTCATTTAAGTAATGCCTTTTTATATTTAGTGCCATTCTGTAAGTAGCCAAATCTCTCTCTCTCTCTCTCTCTTATCATGCAGAACTCCCCACAATTGAATAGCAAAAAAATTGTTTTGATTTCAGTGGAGGAGGAAAATATATATTATATGCTATAGTATTACATAATGGAATTAGCTCTTAAAATCAACAACTACATTCCAATTCTATCCTAAATAGTCCTCTTTTTCTCACATACACATACCAGAGGGAGACAGGGAGGGGGGAGAGGGAGAAGGAGAGAGAGAGAGAATACTTCAACCTGGAAAGGAAAAACGTTCTGCATTAATCAGAAAATATAATGGAACAATAGAATAATCCAAATTATTTATGGATGAAATATCCATTCATTTTAATATTTATTAAAATATTATATATAATTTAATATTTTATAATTATTATAAATGTATTATACTTATTATTAAATTTAATACATTTAATGTTTATACAGCAATGTCATTGCAGGATCCAATTGGTCACTGGGACTAGAGGTTTAGTTTTTCAAGATTTGGGATCCATCCATGCTGGAATACATCCTCAGGAAACCACTCTGTCTCCTGCCCTGAACAATGATTCCTCAGCATATAGACCAGCAAAGACATCCAAGATGAGAATGGCAGTCACACAATATTTTAGCCAACTTAAACAAAACAACTGTATAACAGAAAACAAATGATGGAAAATGAGAGGAAGGAACAGTGGCCCAGCAAGATTTTATGGACTCCTTAAGATACACAAAATAAGGGCCCTCCTCAGACCTATTACAGCTCCAAAGGATACTCCTACCTGCAACCTGGTTAAATGACTGGTACAACATTTAAGCTTTATGACTCCACTCTTGAATAGCATGGTAATATCCTCCAAATAATTTTTAATCTGGAGAGAAAGAAGTTCCCTAAGGGGGCTCTAGCATGAATCTGAGAGCTTGGAAGACTAAGTGACTGACTCAGATTGGATCTTGCAACATTACCCTGGGACTCATATATTTGTTTTCATTCATGAGCAATATCATTGGTTCAGCCACCACCATTAGAAGTCAGTTGTAGAAAGTTTTAAAAAAATAGAATTTTGATTCACAGTTAAGGAGATTGAATGGTCTTGCATAAGACAACTCTTACCCATCTGGTTTGAAATTTTCCCTTTTGCACATCGAAAGCAATCATAGCAGCAAAATGGCTTCCCTTCTATTTTCATCTTCCTGGACCCAGAACGGCAATTGATGTTGCATACAGAAAGAGGAGGAACCTATTAAGAAAGCAGGATTTATTGAAAGCCATAACAGTTTTATTTCCATAAAAAATCTATTTCAGAGTGGATTTTATTTTAAAATAATGAACATAGATTGGAGATAGATGTCCTGAAATCTTCTGATGTTTTAGAGCAATTGTAGAGAATACGACAACTATAAAAACCAAGGTAGGAAAAGAAAAATTGGACATGAAGTTAGCATCATTTTGCTAGGTGAAAGTCAAGATCCAGAAGAATTTGTTTGCCATTTATAATTTATATGGAAATAGAGATGAATGATTCCAGGTTTCAAGTCTTTTTTCAATTTCTGAAAAAGTAAAGGTCAGGTGTTCTCTCTGGATCAGATACATGGTAGAAAATGTCTTCAAGAAAAGATATTTATTTTTTTTATTTTTATTTTTTATTTATTTATTTGATTTGCCAATTGTTTACAAGATAATAAGTATAAGTGTATACATAGTTGTGAATACATGAAATGGGTACATATAAGAAAAATAAAAGAAGAATAGGACAATAGGACAGGGACGGTAGGCACGTTGGTGCGCTTATGCACGCCCCCTACAGACCTCTTAGGAAAGGGGTGAGGTCAATAGTAGACAGTCTAAGGTTAAAGTTTTTGGGGTTTGGGGAAGAAACTACAGAGTCGGGTAGAGTATTCCAGACATTGACCACTCTATTGCTGAAGTCGTATTTCCTACAATCAAGTTTGGTGCGGTTAACTTTGAGTTTGTATCTATTGTGTGCTCTTGTGTTGTTATGGTTGAAGCTGAAGTATTCATTGACAGGTAGGACATTGCAATGTATGATTTTATATACCATGCTTAAATCAGACCGAAGACGGCGTAATTCAAGGTTTTCTAGTTCTACAATTTCAAGTCTGGTGGCATAAGGTATTCTACAACGAGTAGAGGAGTGGAGAACTCTTCTTGTGAAATATTTCTGGACTTTCTCAATTGTGCTATGCCATCTTGCTTCTTACTACATTTTTCATAAAATGTTTCAGCAGATACAGATAATCAGAGTTGGAAGGGACCTTGTAGGTCATCTAGTCCAACCCCCTGCCCAAGCAGGAGACCCTACACCATTTCTGACAAATGGCAGTCCAATCTCTTATTGAAGGTCTCAACTGATGGTCCTCCCACAACTTCCGAGGGCAAGCTGTTCCATTGGTTGATTGTTCTCACTGTCAGAAAGTTTCTCCTTATTTCCAGGTTAAATCTCTCCTTGTTCAGTTTCCATCCATTATTCCTTGTCTGGCAGGGAGCTTTAGAAAATAGCTTGACCCCTTCCTCCCTGTGGCAGCCCCTCAAATATTGGAAGACCGCCATCATGTCTCCCCTGGTCCTTCTCTTTATTAGACAAGACAAGCCTAGTTCCTGCAACCGTTCGTTGTATGTTTTAGCTTCCAGTCCCCTAATCATCCTGGCTGCTCTTCTCTGTACTTTTTCTAGAGTCTCAACATCTTTTTTATAATGTGGTGAACAAAACTGGATGCAGTACTCTAGGTGTGGTCTTACTAAGGCTCTATAGAGTGGTATTAGTACTTCCCTTGATCTTGACTGTATCCCTCTGTTAATACAACTTAGGATTGCATTAGCTTTTTGGCGGCTGCAGCACACTGCTGGCTCAAATTTAGCTGGTTGTCCACAAATACTCCAAGATCCCTCTCACAGTTACTGCTATTGAGCCTGGTTTCACCCAGTCTATATGTGTACTTTTGGTTTTTCTTGCCTAAGTGTAGGACTTTACTTTTCTCTATATTGAATTTCATTTTGTTAGATATGGCCCAATGTTCTAGTCTGTCAAGATTCATCTGGATCTTGACCTATCTTCTTGGGTGTTAGCTATTCCTGCCAGCTTAGTATCATCTGCAAATTTGGTAAGTTCCCCTTCTATTCCCTCATCTAAGTCGTTAATGAAGACATTGAATAGTACTGGGCCTAAGATGGAACCTTGTGGCACCCCACTGCTTACTTCCCTCCACGTAGACTTAGACCCATTAAGGACTACTCGTTGAGTATGGTTTGCCAGCCAGTTGCGAATCCATCTAGTGGTGGTGCTATCTATTCCACTTTTTTCTAGCTTACTAAGAAGTAGGTTGTGGTCTACTTTATCGAATGCCTTGCTGAAATCTAAATATATTATGTCCACAGTATTTTGCTGGTCTACTAATTGAGTCACTTTGTTGAAGAATGAAATAAGGTTGGTTTGGCATAATCTGTTTTTAACAAACCCGTGCTGACTGCTAGTTATTACTTTACTTGTTTCTAGATGTTGGCAGATCTGTTTTTTTAATTATCTTTTCCAGTATCTTCCTGGGTATTGATGTTAGGCTGATTGGTTTAGAGTTTCCTGGATCTGTTTTTTTTTCTTCCTTTTTTGAAGATGGGAACCATATCAGCTCTTTTCCAGTCCTCTGGGAGTTCCCTGGTGCTCCAGGATTTTTGAAAGATATGGTGCAGCGGTTCTCAGATGACCTCTGCCAGCTCCTTTAAAACTCTCGGATGTAATCCATCAGGCCCGGGTGATTTGTTTTCATCAAGATCAGACAAGTGTTCTCTTACTATTTTTTTGCTTATTTTAACTTTTATTTCTGGTCTGTCTTTTACAGTTATGTTTTTGGTGGGTTGAGCTATAGTTTCTTTTTGCGTGAAGACAGAGGCAAAGAATGAGTTAAGCAGTTCTGCTTTCTCTCTGTTGCCTGTTACTTCCTTGCCATCTTCTCTCTTTAATGGACCAACTGTTTCTTTGATTTTTTTTCTTGTTATTTATATGTTGGAAGAAGGTTTTTTAATTATTTTTGACTTTTGTTGCAAGTCTTTGTTCGTTCTCAGTCTTTGCTATCCTGACTTTGTCTTTGCAGATTCTGGCTATCTGCTGATAATACTGCCTTAGTTGTATGTCCTTCTTTCCATTTTTTGTACTTGTGCAGTCATGCTGGTTTCTTCTTGGATTTCTTGTTTTTCTTTCTCAGTGGTATTGTGCTAGTCTGGGCTTCTATGATCATACTTTTTAGAGTTTCCCAGGATTCTTGAGTTGTTTTCCCCTTTAGGATTTTCATCCATGGAATCTTTCCCAAGTTCTCTCTGAGTTTATTGAAATCAGCTCTTTTAAAATCCAAGACTTTGGTGTCATTATGTTCTGTTGCTTGTGTTTGTGTTATGTTGAATTCTAGTATGACATGGTCACTCTCACCCAAGGTTCCTGCAGTTTCAACTCCCTCTATCACTTCTTCTCTGTTTGTAAGAATTAAGCCCAGTATGGCTGTCCCTCTAATTTCACCCTCTACCTTTTGGAAAACAAAGTTGTCAGCTAGGTTGGTTAGGAACTTATTTGATTTCTCACTTGGTGCAGAATTAGTTTTCCAATTGATATCAGGATAATTGAAGTCTCCCATTACTATTGTTGTGTGTTTCCTGCATATGTTTGTTAGTTGGCTGGCAAAAAGGACATCTATTTTTAATGCTTCATTGGATGGCCTATAATATACGCCTATAGCCATGTCATTCTTTTTTTTCTTTTATATTGACCCATATGCATTCTAGGAGGTTTTCATCTTTGGTTTCATGCATTTCTATAGCAATATAGTGGTCCTTTACATACACTGCAACTCCACCTCCACTTTTATGGGGTGTGGTTTTTTTTTTTTTGAATCGTTTGTATCCTTCTACCAGTATATTCCAGTCATGGGTTTCATCCCACCAAGTTTCTGTTATTCCAACTATATCATATTTACCTTCATGTATTCGTAGTTTGAGTTCACCCTGCTTGTTCCCCAGACTTTGTGCATTTGTATATAGGTACTTGAGATCTTTATGTCTGACACTGTGTTTCCTGTCTACATAACCTGTGTTATGCCTGCCTGTCCCTGCTTTCTTGCCACCTGTTTGATTAGTGCACATGGTATGGCACACACTATTAAATGCTTGGTTTTGGTTGGCATCAAGGTTGATAATCTTACCTGCACAAACATCTATTTTGCATGCACTGGTATCCTTATTAGTTTTAGGTTGCTGGGGACAGAGATGTTCTGAATCCATTAATTCTCTGTCCCCGCTGTTCAGTTTAAATGTTTATCCAGGAAATCTGTGAATTTCATGCCAAGTAACCGAAAGCAACAGTGAACAACTTTTGTAAAAAATTATTCCCACTTTAAAATTAAAAGTAACTTCAAAAAAAAAAAAATTAAAAGTAACTTCAAATTGCATATATTCTGGAAATCCAGCTTGAATAAAATCAAAGAACTATTGGAAATAAACCATGGGCTTTCCAAACATACAATCTCATTATTATGGAAATCTCCAAGAATATACAATAGGCATTAAAATTTCTGCACTATGGTCAATCTTTGTGTATTATACCATATGTAGTTTTAAATACTTTAATGCACTTTCAAATATATTTTTTTAACTAAGCAATCTTGAAAACGTAATCAGGAAAAGCCTTTAGGTGTTGCATTAAGTTTTGCTAATATCATAAAGATTTGATGAGAGATATAAATAAATAATTTAATTCTTGGTATATAGACATTTAAGTCTTTGTAGTCTTTGAAAGTCTACCTACAGTATTTCAGTCTTAAATGTTACATCTGAAATATTTGAAAACACCTATACAATTTTCATTCTGACATTTGAACACAGGATCTATTCAAATATATAATTCTGAAAGCAAGAAGGGAAGTTAAGGAATGTGCACAATTTGAAATCTGAGCAAGAAATACCTGGTTAAACATAGCAGGCCAAGTGATGTCCTGTGCAGAAAGGGTGATTAACTTGTCTGGAGAAGCTGTTGGGTGAATCTTTCCAACTTTGACTTTAATAAAGGTCTCATTGGGGAAGGTGACCCAATTGATAATGTCAAATTCAGTCTCTAAGTCACCATTTTCATTAAAGGAGATTTTCTGTTCTGCAGTGTTATTAAATGAGATAGTTCTCAAATAGTGATGGAACTAAATAGAAGCAAAGTTTGACAATTAATAGGGGAGGAAGGAAAGGAAGGAAGGAAGCTTAAATCATTACTATTTGTAAAAGTAAATATTTATAATAATACACTGAAAACTGCCAATTATATCTTCTCTTCCAAGAAATAATGAATGAATGAATGAATGAATGAATGAACAAAAGAAGGAAGGGATAGAGAGAGATAGAGAGAGGGAGGGAGGGAGGAAGGAAGATACAGCTTCTTCTTAATGTTTTTCTCCTTCTTAGAATTGTTGTAGCATTGTTATTTATTCAAAATTACATAGATTTCTCCAAGTCCTGAAAGGTTGAGAAAAGTGGAATGACAGGAGACCTAAAATCATCACTCATTTGTGATATCCACACTAGTACAGCTCAGTGCCTTAGAGAAAAGATCAATGGGAAATGTTCATTCATTTTATTACCTGCCAGGCTTTTTGGATAAAAAAAAATGGTTGCCCAACTTCTACCCTTGTTTTGTATTTTGACTTGGGGGAAAGCATGGCTTGTAAAGCATGTGCCACAGCATAGACTGCATTATAGATGCTGTAACTCTGTCCAGTCATGGTGGTGTCAAACACAGACTTAGGAAGATTTTTGAGCTTCTCTTCTCCAGTGCACAGCATTCCAGTGTCTTCATCTAATTTATCTTTAGGAAAAGAACATTCAAAAACCTTTTCCCAAAACACTTTCATTAAATGGTCTTCCACTTCTGAAGTTGGGTTTCTCATCTGAAGGAATGTGTTGAATCCAGGGATCTCTTTGGAGGAAATGGCAAAAGATATAACACCATGGAAAAAGTCTATACCACACACTCTTTGAAAGGGAAGGGACGTAAACTCCATCTGGCCTGGCATTATCCAAACTTTATCTTTTCTCTTGACTGGCATCTCTTCAAATGCTGGGAAATAGGGCAACATTCTAAAAATCACAGTGACCTGGTTTTCACAATATAGGATAATAACATTGGCTGTGCTATTCATAATAATAATGTACATATTAGTAAAATCTTTAAATGCTGCTGCAATATCATTAGAAAATGTTTCTTTGGCCATCTGTTCTATGAAGTCAAAGCAGATACCTTTCTGGGAAAATAAAGTAACAGCATTTTGTATGAATCGGTCTCCATTTTCATTACGTTGGACAATGAGTCCAACCCATGTCCACCTTAAGTACAACAGCAATTGGAGAATACCCATAATCTGTTGGTCACCATTTGGGAAAAAACGATGCAAAAAAGCAGTTTTTATGTTGTCCTCTATCACAGGAGAAGATCCATATATTAGCTAAATGTAGAAAAAAAGGAACATGGTTTTCCAAACTGAAATATTCATTATCTTTGAAAAATCTGTTATTAATTCATAATCTTCCATTGTTACCAATATCTAATCATGTTTTTTTAAAAAACCTGATGTACAGAATTTTCATTCAAGAGCTGTAATTCTAGGAGAAGTACAAAAACTGGAGACTTCCAAAATGTTTTAATTCAGGAAATATTTTACTAAAAATGGACCACAAATTTTAAGGGCTAAAGCTATTTGCTTCTGATTAAGGAAGGAAACACATCCTAATATTTTGCTAGTTTCTCCTCATAGGAAACAGCAGAAAAATTGAAGCAATGAAATAATGGCAAGATGGGATAAGATAAGCAATGCAAGAACATTGCTTTGTATTCAGTATATACCCAGCCCCCTTTCTTGTTTGTTTGTTTGTTTTTAGTTCTCATGTCATAATCTTTATGCATCTTGAAATGGATATATAACAATATGCATGGAAATAGTGATATATATTGCTATAATGGAAAGGGCACTACACTGAATACGCACAGTGAATGATTTTCTTCCTTTTTATTTTAATTATTTCACATTTTGGTAATATATCTGCCCCTTACTTTCCAGATTATGTAACTGAATCCCAGGAAAGCATACTGTGAATCAAATATTTTCCCTCAATATTTTCAAACAGGAGCAGAAAATATGAAATTTCACAGCAACAGACCTTGTGTGATGTAAAATGTTCAGATGCTTAATTCTTTGGATCATTTCCCCCATTTTCAATATTTGGCATACGCAAAAACAGTATCTTACACATTAAAAAGACTTAAGTCACTAATTTCTGGCAGTAAATGTCCCACAATGCTAACACATTCAATGTACTATGAAAATCCTATAAGGAAAGAAGAAAGAGGAGGAGGAGGAGGAGGAGGAGGAGGAGGAGGAGGAGGAGGAGGAGGAGGAGGAGGAGGAGGAGAAGTGTTGAAATACCGTAATATTCTCATAAAGTTTGCTAAATACCAGCAATCATTAGCAAGAATATCTAAACAATGTAGTAAGTTAGATGGCTATTTGTCTTTCAGTTCTACTCCTTTTTCTTAACTGCCTGTGTGCTTTTCACAATCCAGCAAGATAGCTGTGTGTGGATGTGGTATAAAGGAATTAATAATAACAATGCAGCATTTCACCTCTATGCAGTTTTCTTCTATTTATTTTTTGTTATTTAAGTTACTATGAAGCATTCATGGAGAAAGAGGGAGGGAGGAAAATAGAGGGAAGGATGGGGGAGGGAGGGAGGCAGGCAGGAAGGAAGAAGGAAAGGGGAGGGAGGGAGGGAGGAAGGAAGATGATTAAAATGTGCTGATGAAAATGTATTGGCATTTTAATACTGTCTATTAACTTACGTTAAAAGTTAACATTAATATTTATAATTGGGTCTGGACTATCTAAAAGAGTTGGCATCAATTTTGCCAGCCTAGAAATGTTTCCCCTCTCCCAATTGCCTTTGCATTTCAGCGAATGAAGGTGTCAATTCTGAAATGCTTTCTCAAAATACTCTTCTAGTTTGGGCTCCAATTTATTTTATTACACCATTGTCTAGGTTGCATCTCTTCCTCTTTTCTCAAGGTTACTCTCACAGCCCATTAGATTTATTCAAGAAGAAATCTCACCTGGGGCAACTTGTAGACATTTAAAATGTTGGCTATGAAGGGACAGATGTGAGAGGTAGGTCCCATAATGACAGATACTGTCCAGTCCTTGGTATCACACTTATAATTGGGTATGAATCTGCTCCGTGTTGAGAGGAGCTCCATTGAAGCTAAGTAGGTCCATCTCGCCATGAAGTAACTGTTAGAGAGGTGCATACCCAGAGTCACGTTGGGTAAAATGTGGTTGTTTTCATTGATCTCCTTTACAGCAAAAACCAAGGCCAAGATATGCTGATAGTTCTGTAGGAAAAATCTGCAATGAGAGATATATATCTAAATCATATGTCTTCTCTTAAAGTATGTGACATTAGATATACTTTATTTATAATTCAACTAAACACTACATAGAAAACCTGATTGTATAGTACAATTCAGGAAATAATTTAAATGCTTTAGTGCTCAGAAACTGTTTCCATTGCTACAGATCCACTAAATTGTGTGAATAATTTGTAAATTACATGACAACCAAATGTATAACATTCTAATGGAAGAATGTGAAATCTAATGTAAATGTGAAATATTTGTGTAATAATTGAATGATTCTGCAAAAAATAATCTGATAGGGAAAATGTTCTTGGGAAAAGCATAAAAGTATAATTTTTCAGTGGATGAAGACTGGCTGTTATGATTCTTTCAATGATTATAAACAATTTTCACTAGGAAACAGATGGATTGCTCAAAGGAGCATTACCAATTATTAATCACACACACACACACACACACACACACACACAAACAAAAGATACTGAGACTAGAAAGAATGCAGAGAAGATGCAGGCTAAAACATATATAAGAATTGGTTATCTCTAGTTTAATGAACAGAAAGACTAGGGGTAACATGATAGTAGTGTTCCAATATCTAAGAGGTTGCCATAAAGAAGAGGGAGTCAGCCTAGTCTCCAAAACATTTGAGGGCAGAACAAGAAGCAATGGGTGGAAACTAATCAAGGAGAGAACCAACCTAGAACTAAGGAAAAAATTCCTGACAGTGAGAGCAATAATCAGTGGGATGACTTGCCTTCAGAAGTTGTGGGTGCTCCATCGCTGGAGGTTTTCAAGAAGAGATTGGACAACCAATTGAATGAAATGGTAAATGTTTTCTTGCCTGAACCGAGTGTTGGACTAGAAGACCTCCAAGGTCCCTTCCAAGTCTGTTATTCTGTTAATAACCATATTATTATCTACCTGTAAAACACACTTCTAGTTCTGTATCCTTAGCTTTTCCATCTTTCCCTATGATTTTCCCCCTTTAAGGGGTTTGTGTATGTATGAAGAATCTTTTCTGAAATATGATTGAGGGCCAATGTTATATATAAATCTTTTTCTTTCATCTTAATAGACCTCAGAGGGTTCTGTTACCTAAAAAGAGAAGTAACTGTTTCATTAGGGTAGACTCTACATTTTTGCTCCATGCTTGCTGATGTACCTGTTTAGAAATCAAATCAAAAACTACATAGCACCATTGTTTCCTAAAATTCATAGTAACCATTAAACCCCATTAAAATTGGGTAAAAAAAACCTGATTCAATAGACCAGCATGGATTACTAGTGAGTAAGTAAATGAGAAAAGCTCAATATGGGACTTTAATAAAAACACCCAGGTGAGATTTGTCATAAATGAGTAAGGTAAAGGTAAAGGTTCCCCTTGCACATACATGCTAGTTGTTTCCAGCTCTAGGGGCAGTGCTCATCTTCATTATAAAGCTGAAGAGCCAGCACTGTCTGAAGACATCTCTGTGGTCATGTGGCCAGCATGAATAAATGCCAAAGTTGCATGGAATGCTGTTACCTTCCCACCAAAGTGGTCCCTTTTTTTCTACTTGCATTTTTACATCGAACTGCTAGGTTGGCAAATGTTGGGATAAGTAACCGGAGCTCACTCCATTACACCGCACTAGGGATTCGACCACCAAACGACCACCAATCTTTCTAATCAACAAGCTTAGCGTCTTAGCCACTGAGCCACCAAGTCCCTCATAAGTGAGTACTTCTATGTATTTATTAAAATAGCAATCTGTATTAAAATGAAGGAACTAACTGGCAAAAAGAACAGCAGAAATAATTTGTGCTGCAAGTTATACCAATAATTAATTCAGACCAGACATTGTATTAGAAAAAAATATCTGATTTGAGATACGCTACAGTTAAGAAGAGAAAGTCTTTACATGAGCTCATCAACCAGTTCTTCAGAGGGATGTCTTTTGAAATGCACTGGATCAGATATCATATAGAACTGAGAGAGTATCCCAGCCATTATGAAATCCCCTGACAAAAAATACTTGTGCTTGATAAGCGGAGGTTTCCCCACAACACATGCATTAATCTGAGGAGTAAGGCATGTAACTCCTGGCAGTAATACTGCTATGACTGCAATGAAAAATACCATCTTCTTCAAGAATACCTGTGTCACCACATATGAAACAATTCTGACTGCATCAATGAAACCTGACACACACAAAAAAGAACCTTGCTCACTTATTAGAATAGCTTCCATATATATTCTTTCTCAAACAGTAGATTGTTACATTTCTAGCTCTCTGGGCCCACAATTAATAACAGCTTTCAGTCTTGAGCTGTTCTTTGGGTTTGTTTTTGGACATCCCCAAGGATTTGAGAACAAGCTACATAACTAAGACTCCCTAATAATTATAAGGGAAATCAATGGATGTTCAGTGAATCTTGTTGGAATCTTTGAGGGTTATTTTATTTGTAATTTAATTTTATTGTGACATTTGCTTTTAACCTTCCTAATGGGAATAGGTCTGAGCCCTTTGGGATGGGCACCATGTATGATGCCAAATAAATCAGCAAAAAGAAAAAGAAAGAAATATCATTGGAGACAAGTTACATTTACAATGTGAATCAATTTTACAATAGAAAGTTCTAAAATCTATATTTTTAAGAACTATATTTTTAAACATATATTTTCCACAAAGTAAAATATCACTTGCTTGTTTTTCTCCATTTCAAATGTTTTGTTCCATATCCTCATGTCCTTATAGTGACATGATGTGGGTCATAATTTCCTGGCTTGGTGACTGACATGAGCCTTCTCTGATCAGACTAATCAACTTGCTCACTATTTTATATTTTAAAGTGCAATTTGTATTGTTGTAGATACACACATAACTGCCCATGTCACTATGTTTTGCATCAGCTGAAGGTTCTGGATACTTTTCAAGGGCACATGTAATGCATGTTACAATAACCAAATTGAAAAGTGACTACAGCATCAGTGACCATAAGCTGACTTTCCCATTTAGGAATGGGCACAACAGGAAAAAGGGTGGCAGGACAGGGACGTGCAGAGGTGGAGAAGACTGCTGCGGTTTTCGGTTACCTTCTCTAGCGTCTGGAGCAATCCCCGGGGGATACACGAACCCCGGAGAGGTTCGTGTCAGTATAGGAGAATCTCGAGTTACAGGGTGGGGGTAGGCAACCCCCTGGTAACGAAGAGGAGAGCTCCTGAGCCCAGCGCGGAAGAGCTAGCTGCCAGTTTATGGTGGCTCCAAAGTCCGGTCTGCCACTGAGGTGACTAAGCAAGATAGTGACAGCCTGCAAGATCGGAGCAGTAAAAGGTGTTGAAAGAGCATAATACAATATTGAAGATTGAAGATTGAAGAATGACAGTGGCGTGAGAGATTTCTCTTCCTGGTTGTGAGCAGCACTTTGTGGAAGCAGGAGAGAAAAGTGGCTAGAAAAGCAGCTTGAAAAGCGAAAGTGTGACAATTGCGAGCAGAAAGGCGTGATTGTTAGAGCGAAAGTGTGGATTACAGCTTTTGAAAGGGAAACCCCTGGGGAGAGAGGAAGAACATCGGAAACCAGGAGATTGGAGACTTGAATTTGTGAGTGATTTGGCATTTTGGACTAACTTTTTGACAATATTTGAGAAGAAGGAGGTCACAGAGGAGGAAAAATTGCGGCACTGAAAGTGGCTTATTAACTCTCTGAGCTGAGCTCAATAGGACTATTGGCTTTATTTAATACTGTTGGGAGGACAGATTGTTAAGCGATCAAGAAGAGATGACGATTGGATTTTGGAGGGAATAATAGGTGAAGGAGATTTGTACATTGAACTCAAAACCGGGAAGAAGGAAAAGGAGGAAGGAGGAAGATACCAACAGAAGGCTGGGAAGGATTGACTTCTTATTGCGATTAGTCAGCACATTATACCATTCGCTCCCCGGAGTGCTGGGAAGAAACTCAAAACTTAAACCTTTAGCTTGAAGACTGACTATAAAGTTTATTTTTTATTTTTTCTCTTATCACATTTCTTTATTTGTTGGAATTTCTATTTGGTAATACTTTAATATTACCATTTGGGCACTATTTTTACAATTTGAACCTCTAGCCCCTTGCTTATTGACTGCCTGAAATTAAGGTAAACTTTTCTCTCTTCTCTTTTCCCATTGTTTCAGCCTCTCTCCTTCCTATCTTAACCCCTTAAAAAGTCTGATAAATTTACCTACTCAAAGGGGGGGGGAAAGGTATATTGTCCTTAAAGATTTCAGTGACAATTGATTTGATTGTCTTAAATAGTAACAACAAAGAGTGAAAAATAGTGTTGATTTAGATTACTTAGAATACTTAAGATTAATTCTTAAAGTAGTAACTGGGTTGGATTTGATGTATTATTGGTGATTAATATTGATATTCAGTATATAAATTAATTATAAAGATTATTATATATTATTAGATAACCTTTTATAATATAGGTGTACAGACTGCCTATCTATATATTTGATTGAAGTATTAGAATAGAATTTTTATTTTAGGAGTTAAACACTGAATGGTGATCTGGGACAATATATCCAATATAGTGCAACAACAAAAACAAATATTAAGAGAGATGACCTCCACGACAACTATGGCTTTGAAATCGGGAAGGAAGACCACCCCGACCCTAACGACTACTTTAACTTCTGCTTCACCAACAATCCAAAAAATCATTGAAGAATCTCTAATAGGGGATAAACAGTCCAATGTCTCTAACGTTAATATACAAGCTACCCTACTATCCTTGCAAGAAGCAATGTCTAAGATGCAAGAAATAATGATTAAGAATCACAAAGAAACCAGAGCGACATTAGCGAATTAAAAGATGAGATGGGAAAGCTTAAAGTGGAAATGAAAGCAGATTTACTTAAGGTGGAGGATAAGATAGGGTCCTTGCAACAGGCTATGGAGAAAAACGAAGTTAAGATAAGAGAAATAGAGAGTAGGACAGAACGGATGGAGACAAATTTTGAAAGGATAGAGAAGGAATTTAGAAATATAACTAGAGAAACCGAAGACTCCCTGGTCCACCTCGAAATGGATAAAGCAGCGGCATATTTAAGGTTTCAAAATGTGGTAGAAGCGAAAAATGAAGAATTAGAACAATTAATGGCAGAACTATTGGCTGAATGGTTAGGGAAAGAAAAAGACGATCTAATCAAAGAATTTGACGAGGTGTATAGGGTTAGCACAAGTTATGCTAGACGCCATAACTGCCCGAGAGAAATTCATATTCATTTCACAAGGAGGTGTGTGAGAGACCTAATTCTTAAAATGTCCAGAGAAGAAACAATAACATATAGAGGTAAAGAGATTACAATCCTAAAACAAATCCCAAGGAAAGTGAGGGTCATAAGACAGGATTATAAATTTTTGGCCAATTATTTAAATAAAAAAGAAATTCCTTTTAAATGGTTAATCCCGGAAGGGATGTTAATAACTTGGAAAGAGAGAAAAATCAAAATAGACTCTATAGAACAGGCCCAAGACTTTCATGATCAGCTAATAGGCACGGATGACCAATACACCAAGGAGGAAACTAAAAGGAAACCACAGAATGATCGTAATCGCCATAGAAACCAAAAAGAAGGACTTCCTCAAAATTTAGGGAACGATAAACCACAACCAGGGAGAGAAGAAACAATCTCACAACAACAGCAAGAAGAAAACCGAATCACCACTAGACAAAAAACTAAAAAGACCTAGATAAATGGAGATAGGAAAGAAACTCCTCTCCATTAATATAAATGGTTTAAATTCAACATCTAAAAGGAAAAGGATATTAACTAAATTAATTAGACAAAACGCCGACATAATATGCCTACAAGAAACACACATTAGGGAAAAGGATGAAAGATATTTAATTTGCCCGAAACTTGGAAAACTCTTTACAGCACCAGCAGACAAACATAAAAAGAAAGGAATTGCAATATTTGTGAAAGATGATATAAAAGCAGAACTAACCTGGTCAGATCCGGAAGGAAGAACTCTGGTTATACAAATTTGGATTAATCATATTACATTTTTATTGGTAGCAATCTACGCGCCAAATGAAGAACAAGGGAAATTTTTTAAAGATCTTCATCAGAAAATAATAGGTTTCGAAAAAAGGAATATCTGCATGATAGGCGACTTCAACTCCATTGCTGATCATCAAAAAGACCATAGTAATGTGAATAAGAACAAGAAAGGGAAAAGAGAATTTTCTATGCCCTGTAAGGACATGATAAAAGAATTAAACTTAATAGACTTATGGAGAAAACTAAACCCAGAAGAGAAACAGTTCACATATTATTCAAATCCACACAAAATCTGGACCAGAATAGATATGGCCTGGATGGATGGGGAATTGGCCAATGAAATAAAAGAAATTAAAATCCTACCAAATGAATGGGCCGACCACAACCCAATACAATTAATTTGGAAAGATAGGAGAAAAACAAAGAAAAGATGGACACTAAATACTCAGTTAATAAATGAAGAAGAGTACATTAAGAAGCTGAAAGAGGAATTAAATTATTTTCTAAAAGAAAATAATAATGAAGCAACCATGAAACAAAATATTTGGGATACAATGAAGGCAATTATAAGAGGAACAACAATCTCTTATAATGCCATGAGAAATAAAAGAATACATGCCCAACAAAATAAATTCCAACAACAAATTAAAGAATTAGAAATACAACTACAAAAATCCCCTAAAAACCAGAGAACACAAAACCAGTTAATAACAATTAAACATAAATTGAATTTACTTGAACAAGATAAAATAGAAATTAACTTGAAAAGGTCCAAACAAAATTATTTTGAGCATACAAATAAACCAGGAAGATGGTTATCCCATAAACTTTAAAAAGTGAAAGAAAAGAGATTGATACACCAACTAATGGATGAGAAAGACGTCTTACAACATGAGATAGAGAAGAAAAAAGATATCATTTACAACTATTTTCAAAGATTATATAAAAAGGAGGAAATTAATGAAGATAAAATAAGAACTTATTTAGAGGAGACGAATGACAAGGTAATTGGAGAGGAATGGATAGAGTTATTGAATAAAGATATTACATGGTCTGAATTGAAGTCAGCAACGGAGAATCAAAGTAATAA